TATCATTTTCAGTAAAACTTAAAGTGTCTTGGAAAAAAAATCAACCAATAACAAAGGCTGGTGGGGCTGTGGGGTTAAAGGAACCCTTCTCCACTTTTGGTAAGAATGCAAACTGTAACAACCACTATGGAAATCAGTATGGAGATCCCTCAAAAAGCTAAAACTAGAAGTTCCTTTTGACCCAGCCATTTCCCTTCTATTCATCTTCCTGAAAGAGTTAAAAGCATCATACTTCAGTGAAATATGCATAGCCATGTTTATAGCAGCACAATTTATTATAGCTAAATCTTGGAAACAGCTTGTATGCCCATCAGATGAATTGATTTTAAAAATGTGGTATTTATGTACAGTGGATTACTACTCTGCCATAAAGGGTAAACTTGAATCATTTGTAGGTAAATGGATGTACTTTGAGACCATAATTTTAAATGAAATAATGAAGACACACAAGTTTAAATATCGCATTGTTTCTCTCTTGTGAGAAACCCTAAGTGTAAACAAGCAACAAAATAGATGATAGATATTAGGAAGTAGGAAGAACGTGTTCACAGGTGAAGACAAACAAGGGACAGGGGAGGGGAAGGGAAGGAAGGAAAAGGGATTTAAAAGACAGAATAGAAGGAAAAAATGGAAACAAAGCTTCTGTAAATGGGTAGGGGAAGAAGGGTTGAAAAGAAGGGAGGGGAATGGGAAACAAAAAAAATTAAGATATATTATGTTCAGGTACAAATTTCCTATGATGAATGTGAGTACTACGGAAACATACTAATAAAAAATAATTTTAAAAGGGTAAACAGGTAATTGTAGGAAAATGGCTGCACCTTGAGACCATAACGTCAAGTGAAATAAATCACACAAGCTTAAATATCGCATGGTTTCTCTTACATGAGAAACCCAAATCACAAATAAAGAGCAAAATAAAGGGTAAATAATAGGAAATAGGGAGATAGAATGTTTGCAAATGGGAAGGGGACCGAGAGATGGAGGGAGGGGAGGGGTGGTGAGGAGGAATAAGAAGCTGTAAGGTGTGTCATACGCCACCTCCCATGAGGAATGCAATCGTGCATTGTAGGCATGGACTAATAACTCAAATCAGGCACTGAATAGGGGTTTATTGGGAAAACAGTGAGAAGGGCTGGAGCTCAGGGAAGGCACAGCCTGCCATGCCAGGCCCTGAGTTCCATCCCTAGGACCAGCAATCAGTCAGCTTTTAAGCATGAAAGTACCTTTATGGAAGCACATATAGGAAGGGTTCTAGGTGCTAAGTTATGGAGTAAAAGTGTAAAGGTTTGTAAAATGCATGAGGGGAGAACCCTACAGCCAGCCAGAATTTCCACGACAGCACGTGGCAGGTGAGTCCCAGGAAGGGACTATGTTCCCCCCTTGTCCCTGCCACCACTGTGCCACCCATCTCACATTCTGGCTGTGCCCTGATTACTGAGCAGCTGGAGCAGGTGCCTGCAAATCAGCATCATTTCCACTCATGTTCTGACAGCACTTTTCTGTTTAAATTTTGTAGACTAGGGTCCGGGGATTTAGCTCAGTGGTTTCACCAACTGCTGCGCAAGCACAAGGACCTGAATTCGATCCCTGGTACCAAAAAAAAAAAGTTAAATTTTGTAGACTAAAATTCACATTACAGACATGACTTGAGTTCAGCAGAACACACCAGTGATAGCCACTGAACCCTTGCTGTTGTCAGACACTGCTGAGCACTGTGACCAACTCACCCACTGGTTTAGCCTGGAGCCTATGGCGTGGTAGTGTGTGTATGTGTACATGCAGGGGAAGGGACCCAGCAGCCAGCGGGTGCCATGTGGGTGCTGTATCGCTGGTCTACATCCTGGGCCCCAATACCCTTCATAATGAATGAAGCTCAAGTACGGGAGAGGCAGCCCAGGCCCTGGAGTTAGAGGTCACACGAGACATTGCCAGAGCACAGAAGAGCAGAGAGGGGAGGGGGCCAGGCTCCAGGGAAAGCAGGAGAAACCTCTGGGTCGTGTGGCCCTGAGACCTGGTGGGGAGAAGCTGCTTCTCAGTGGCCCATCTGGAGCTCAGGCTCTATGAGTGGATCAAGCCTGCCTTTCTCATGGAACAAGTCCCAAAGAATCACGAGCAAGAGCCAAAGTTCGTGAGTTCTTGTATTTGATATTTATCTGCATGTTGCATTTTGGGGATGTAAACTTCAGTTTTTGAGTAAGAAGGATCCTTTGACTTTTCCCTATAGGGTTGAATAAACTATCTTGGGGTTTAAGCCCATGGCTCTCACAGATCAAATACACACGCAGGTTGGGTGGGGTTCGAGAGTCGGGGCAAAGAGCAGGCCCAAGCTAACGCATGGCATGGGTGTCTTCCTCCAGGTGACAGGCGACAGGCGACAGCCTCACTGCAGCACCTTGTCACTGCTGGCCAAGCTTCAGGGACCTCACTCTGGTTTTCCTTATGACTTTCACCACCCAGATGTTACTCCTAAGTGATGTGTTCTCTTCTTTTTTTTGTGATCCCAGTCTTCACGTTGCGCTACATCCCCAGCTTGTGTTTCGTTTTGTTTTATATTTTTGAGACAGGGCTTCACTAAGTTGCTCAAGCTGGGCTCAATCTTGTGATCCTCCTGCCTCAGCTTTCCACAGAGTTGGGATTATAGGCACGCACCCTCATGCCCAGCTTGATTTGTGTCTGGGCTGCTCATGTGTCCCTTTGAGGGGTGACAGCCCATGGGTGATGTTAGGGACAGTACTTCAGGATACATTCTGTGTGTATGTCCCCCAGTACATATGTACGAGAGCTTCTTTAGGGGCCTAGCACAGCCCTAATCTGAATATCTGAAATGCTTTCCAAAAAATCCAAAACTTTGTGAGTGCCAGCTCACCCTAAAGGGGAAAGTTCCACACCTGAACTCTGGAAACATGCCACATAAAGTCACCTTTGGCCTGTGTGCATACAGTGTGTGTAAAACAGAAGTGTGTTTGGACTTGAGTCCAATTTCCACAGTAGTTCTTTATGTATATGTAAATACTGAAAAACCCTAAAACATCCAAAATCCAAAATCCTCCTGGTGCCAAGCGTTTCATATAAGGGGCACACAGCCCGCAGGGGTTGCTGGGTTGTAGGTGATGTTAACTCGATGCTGTGTGAGGTCCCCTTCTGGTCAGGTAACAGGCCGACTTAATGGACTCAGTGTATGTTGCCACTTGTGTGCTGGGTGACCTTGGCTTGCTCTGAGTTTTATACACATTCTTTTTTTTTTTTTGGTACAGAGGATCATCGAACTCGAGACCTTGCACTTGTGAGCCAGGCGGTGGAACCACTGAGCTAAATCCCCACCCCATATACACATTCTTGATTCAGTTTGCTAACATTTTGTTCAGGAATTTTCCATATGTGTCTTCAAGTGGACTTTCAGTTTTTCTTAAGTTTTAGTATCAAGGTTCGCCGGTATCATGAAATGAGTTGGGCAGTTGTTACTTCCTTTTCTGCCCTCTGTAAAAGTTTATGTAAAGTTGTGATTGTTTGTGAAATGTTTGCAGAATTTACCCAGAAAACTATTAGGGCTTAAGAAGGTTTTTTTGTTGTTTTGTTTTCAATTATACCTTTTTCTAAGAATTTGCCCATTTTGTCTAAGTCTTTAAATTGTTGACGTAGTCATTCAAAAGATCCTTATTTCACATTTTTACTATTTGAAGCCGCTCTGGTTCTAGCCTACCTTTGATTCTAATATGATTTGTGTCATTTGTCCTCTTTCTGCAACTCACCAGAGTTGTTTTATCTCCGATTCATTTTGGCCTTTTCTGCATGTATTTTGCTGTTGTCTTTCTAAATTCTTAGGGTGATTCTTACCTCATTGGTTCTCCCACTCTTGTCCTTTTATGATAAAAGTGCTTCCCATCTGAGTACAACTGTGGCCACATCTATCCCTGACAACCACTGAGCTTCCTTCTATTTTAAAAAATTTCCCAATTGTTTTCAAAGTCACCAGTATGTTTTCTCTGCATGCCAGCAGTGCAGGAGCATCCTGGCTGCTCCACCTCCTTGCAGGTTCAGGTGGAGCCCAGGTTTCAGTCAGAGGCGACCTGTAGGTGCAAGGCTAACCCATGTCATCTTGAAGAGTCTGCAGAGTTTTGGGCTGTTTTTCTTTAAGTTGTTCCTTGTTTTCTTACTGAGTTTGAGAGTTCTTTTTTCTGAATGCATGTTCTTTATCAGATACATGGTTTGCAAATATTTTCGCTTAATCTTTTGCTTGTCTTTTAATTTTCTGACCTGTCTTTTAAGGAGCAGAGGATTTTTATTTTGATGAAGCTTAATATATTGACTCTCCATTTGTACGAATCATGCTTTAATGTGACATCTAAACATCTTTACCTAATCCAAGGTCACACAGATATCTCATGTTTTCTCTAAAAGCTTTGTAGATCTAGGTTTTACCTTTGTAATAATTTTTAACTTAGTCACAATTTAATTAAGGAATCTGGTCTGTATAATACCAGTTCTTTGAATTTTAATGTGTTTTCAGTTTGATGTGTTATCTTCCAGACATGTGTAGTATTTACATTCCTGAATATGTAACTTTAGAAATATACAGGGTTGTTGTTGTTGTTGTTGTTGTTGTTGTTGTGGGGTTTTGTTTTGTTTTTGTTTTGCTCTTCATGGTGCTGAGGACCAAACCCAGGGCCCTGTGATGCTAGGTTCACCCTGCCACTGAGCTATGCATTGTGATCAAGAAATACAGTGAATGTTACACACTGCTATTAATCCCCCTCAAATGCTCTTCTTACTTCAAATATACTTATCCCATCACTTTTGCCGCTTTTGGGAGCAGTTCTGGAAGTCTTCTTTCGTGTCTTTTGACCACCCTTCCATGGCTTACCTCAGTGTCCCAAATCAATTCAAAACTTTTCCCTTTCGTGGCCAATTTGACTTTGGGGAAGAGCCAGAAATCGCACAGTGCCAGATCCAATGAATTAAGGTGAATGAGGACACAGCATCATGTTTTTATTTGACAGAAACTGCAGTACCAGAAGCGATGTGTGACGTGGAGCATGGTCATGGTGGAGGGTGAAACCAAGCTCACCGTGGTGCCCCTGGCTGCAGATTCAGCTCACACAGTTCTGTCAAGGTCAGAAAACACAGCCCACAGCTCCTTGGTGTTGCGTCTTGACAACTGTGCTTTTGCCACATGAGGAGAACTGGGTGATTTCCATCCACAACTCTGAACCTGGCTCTTAGGATCACAACCAAAGACCCCAGTCTCATCTCTCCTGATAACATTTCTCAAAAAGCTAGAATCTGAAGTGGCTCAGTTGCACAGTGCCAGTGGAATTAACATTTCAGTTAATTTGTTGTTCCTGATCTGTAACTTACAGCATGCCTTAAAGCATACCTCTCCGCAGTAGCTCACAGCCCACTGACTGCACCCGACAAATTGAAACTTCTGTCACTGTCACTAAGGTGCAACATGCTGCTGTCCTGCTGATCATCCGTGCCTTTCTGTTGGGTGGCACTCGGCAGTAGCATTCACCTGTTTTTCTTTAACCACACCTCATATCCTCAACTCAAAATACATAGGTTTTTAAATTTAAAATAACTAGATGCCGAGCATGGTGGCACATGCCTGTAATCCTAGCACTCAAGAGGCTGAGTCAGGAGGATCATCATGAGTTTGAAGCCAGCCTGGGCTACATAGTGAGTCCAGGGCCCGCCTGAGCTACACAGCGAGACCCTGCCTCAAAAAAGCCACATACACAAAAAAAAGTGGAATCACAGTGGGTGTGATGTTCTGATCAGTGTGATTTTAGCTGTGTCTCAGATACAGAGATGCATAATTCCCTTTCCTGTTGGACAGTATGACCTACCTTGGCTCCATACCAGCCACCCCACTGTAGATGAGCCTGTGAGCATTCCCAGGCCCTCTTGAACCTAAGCAGTGTTCTGCCTGCAACTTGTGAGGCCGCAGCTTTCTCTAGACCAGAATGGCTGCATCAGAGCCATCTTGAGTCTAATTGTGTCCAAATTGTTTTCTGTTTTTTAACATATTTTTATTAGTGCATATTGTTTTGCAAAATACTATGCTTCAGCATGACATTTTCATACATGCACAGAACATATGTTGGTCACATCTCCCCCAATACCCTCTTTACCTCCCCCCTCCCCCTGTGTTTTTTTTTAAGCAATCACCGCCTCAAATACAAGCAGTGGATGGTAGGCTATGAATTAGCTGAGCTGTGAATGAGTGTGTTCATTGAGGGAAGACCACTCCTTCCTTCCAGGGCTTTCAGTTCTGCCAGGCCCAGCGCCCCTTTGTAGTAACAGCATTCAGGAGAAGTAATGGGAAGCAATTCATTATTCAGGAGCTAATGCTTCACGTAAATGTCAGGTCTCACTTCCATGGCGACAGGATGGGGAGTCAGGTGGTGGCACAGACCTGAATCAGCTGGGGGTGGTGAGGAGAGGGAAGTACAGAGGAAGTATGTGCCCTGGACAAAACCTGCATGGGAATAGACTAGACCCAGGCTGGAGTGAGAGAGTAGAGTGGCCCCAGCAGGCCGAGGCATCCTTGCAGCAGCTGCACCAGATGTGGAAGGGTCCTTGGGCCCCTGGTCCAGCTCTGAGGACACCTCTAGTGTCCAGTGCTCCAAAACACTTTGGTCACAGGAAATAGTGAATTAAAAAGCAAAACCATTTTGTCTACCAAAACCAAAAATCAAGAATTAGACCCGGCCATGGAGGAGATCTTGCCTTCCTCAGATTCCTCAGGGACTCCCCTCTTTTTGGTCTGTGGCACCCAGTGGTGGTGGTGGTGGTGGGATGACGAAGCATTACCTCTGTCTCATCTGGGAGTAGCAGAGGCTGGGACAGTTCAAGGCCCTGCCCCAGCTGTCTGGGCAGGCGCAGGGCTCTGGGCCCTGTGTTTTCAGAAGGAGCTGCCCACCAGGGTGAATCTGCTTGGTGACTTTGTGATTGCAAAAACAGCATAATTTTTTTTAAATCCTCAGGAACAATTATTTACTTGTCAAAGTGACTAAGAATTATTTTTTCACATTAGACTTTTATACTTCATCTTGCAGAAAAAAGGTTAGAAGAGGAGTTTTTCCCTGGAAAATGAGGAAAAGTATGAAGATCACCTGTTATTTCTGGCTCAGGGTGGAAAATAAGATAATTCATGATACCAAATTCTAACAACATCTCCTGGTTTTGAAAGGTAACTTTGTAACCAAAAGTTTTCAAAAATCAGTTTGAAAAGGAATATGATGAAAATCACGGCCCCTGACCCCATCACTTAGCCCTAGCCTACTCTCACATGTTTCTCTCTGTAGCTCCTTGTCATCTGCAAACATCACTGCCTTTCCACATGGGGAAGCTCAAAGAGAGCTCAGGGCACAGAACTTGCTCCCCGGGCACTGGTGTCCAAGTGCCGGAACACATCCCAGTCGGGATGAGTGCTGTCCTCACATGGCTGTCACCTCCTGCAGCCACACAGCTCTGTGCCTTGCATCTTCCTAAGTCACCGCATAGGACACTCCTGTCTCTGGGTCCCACCCGGTCTGCATGGCATCTTTCTTCCTAGCTGTCTAACTGTATTGAGGACACTGAGCAGAGACTTCTACCCCATCTCCCATCCGGGACATGCGTGCTGCTTCTGCCCTTCTCTTTTATGAATTAACACTGATCAGCATATTCCTTCTTTACTAGTCAAGGAGCTTCCCGACAAATAATAGAAGCTAACTTTTGCTGATTAAACAGAAATGAGTTTCCTAAAGAATATTAATATGTATGTGAAGAGGGACAGAGGAAAACGGATGGATAGGCAGAAATACACTGTGCCAGTGGACAGGAGAAGTAGCTTTAGGCTCAGGTGGCATCCAGAGGCACACTGGGTAGCCAGCCTGGTTGATGCACGGCCATGTGCCACGCTGCCCCCCTTCCCAATCCCCAAGGCTCTTGCACCAAGTGAATTTCATGGCCACTTGGTTTTAAAGCAGTGAAACAACAGAGGACGTAGGCTGGGGTGGCTAGGTGTGTCCAGGTAGGGCAGGAGCTGCCTGCTTGCTTGTGGTGTCAGGTCCACCTGCCTGTGGGCCACCAACCATGAACCAAACTGCTCTTGAACATTGCATTGCTTTGCATAATTGTGAGAGGTAGTCACAGACTTTGAGGCAGGCAGCGGAACCACTGAGCTAAATCCCTGGCCCCTTGCAGACTTTAAATCTTTGTTTTGGGACCAAGAAATTGAGAGGTATGGTTTTATCTCTTTAAACATGTATTATCAACTGGAAAGTTCTGATGTAGATGGTGCATACTTACAGCGCTCAGGTTTCAGACCCTCTTGGACTTCACTGTGAGGAAGAGCAGTGTCCCCTGGAGTGGTGGTTGTTCAGGACACACAGCTGGCTCTGGCCCTGCTGCTGTGAGGTGAACAAGGCTCAGGACAGCCCTGGCCTCCGCTGGGTCCCTGGGTCCCTGTGCTGCTTGCAGAGTGACCTGTGCCACCCCCACTGTTCAGTGGCCTTGGAGACACAGGTGGTGTAGGACCTCACAGTGCAGCTAGAGGTGGCCGCTGCCTGGAAGCCTTGTCTTGCTGGGAACATTGAGAACAGGCAGAGTGGCAGCTGAGGTTTGTGCCCCCATACTGTCCTGTTGCATTGTTAGTAATCCCTGGGAGTGTTGCCACCAAAATTCGGTACTGAGGACTGAACCCAGGGCCTTCACACTGACCTATAGCCCCAGCCCTTTTATTTAAATTTTGTGAGACAGGTCTTGCTAAGTTGTAATATGTGTGCATTACCTCAGTGTTATAAGCATGTTCCTCACCCTAAATTGTTCATCTTTCAGCAAATGACTGTGTCTAGAGACCAGAGACTTGTTTCTAACATTTGCTTCCTTAAAAAAGCAACCCAACCCAAACCCCTCAGTGGCAGAGGTGTAGGGCTGGCCTAGAGAAGCCAGGTTGGTCACAAGGTGACTTCTGAGACCCACCACAGTCCAGGCAGCGACCATGAGCATGAAGAAGGTTCTCCTCCTCCCTGTGTACCCTCCAAGCCTCACAGTGAGCTCAGGTGTCCCTTCCTGTCCTCAGGACTGTGGGTAGAGCCATTCCTACCTGAGAACAGCTGTCATCCTGCACTCAGAGTCAGAGTCCCCCGGAGAGAGCCCAGAGCCACACTTTCACCCCAGCTTGCCGCAGTTTTGGGGTCCTTGGACTCTGTTTCCTGGCTTAGGGGCAAGTGCACTGGCCAATGTATCACCCACAGCCACACCCAATGAATGAAGTGACCTGTCCGCTGCAGCCTGTGCTGGCAGCAGGAGAGGCTACGCCTGGAAAGTGCATGCTCATTCCACTTCCAGCACCAGAAGGTCCTCTAGGGCGGGCTGCAGCAGGCAGGCTCAGAGGCTGTCCCACAGTCGGTCTTGAGCAAGACCAGTGTAGACTCCCCCGAGGCCACCACACCTCCTTTTCACACATTGTTTTATTTTTCTTTGTTTTTGCAGCATCAAACCCAGGGCCCACCTGCTCTTCCTCTTCAGCTCCGCTCCACACCTCCTTTCCACCTCTAGTGCTGGGGTTCCCAACATCTCCCACGACAGGTTGCTTCTGGTGTCAGGATATTTAAGTCTGAACTTATCACTGAGCTGGCTGCCTGGGCGACCATGTGCCTCTTGGGGAGAGGCCTTAGGCCTGCAGAAGAGGAACATGGCAATCCAGAGCCACAAAGCTACCCCGAGGCCACACACCCCTTTTCTCTTCAGAGTGGGGGGAGTGTCCCATGCTTGGTGTGGCATCAGCCCTTCCCCAGGTGGCAAAGGTCCTGGTAAAGTGTGGACCACGGTCACTGTGGCTCCGTGACTCAGGCAGCTCTTGGTGTTTCTCCAAAGTGCTTCCTGACTGGAGTTTTGTTCTTAAGATAAATTTGTTATCATAATATTAAGTGCTTAAGTTTAACATCCATCCAGAGCATCTCAGCAGCGGCCTCAGGCTAAGAACAGCTTTTCCTAAGCCACTCCGTCCCTGTGCTCTCCTGGCTGCTGAAGGCACCTCTACCCTGATTCCTCACACCGGGGATTAAGCGGGGATTTCTGCTCACTTGTCTGAATGTTTTTTTCCAGTATTAGGGATCAAACCTAAGGGTGCTATACCAAGCCTAGGGGTGCAGTACCCCACCTCCCCCCGTTCATTTTGAGACAGAGCCTCTCTTAGTTGCCCAAGCAGGGCTATCACTTACCACCCTCCTGCCTCCGCCTCTCAAATAGCTGGGATTACTGCCATGTGCCATGATATCCAGCTAAAACAATTATACTAGCTTGATTAAGATACAGTTCACATAGAGTATATAGTTCTTGCAAAGTGTGATGGCACACCCCTGTCATCCTAGCACTTGGGAGGTTGAGGCAAGAGGATGGCCACAAATTCAAGGCCAACCTGGGCTACATAGTGAGATCCTGTCTCAAAACATACATACAGACAGACAGACAGACAGACAGACAGTACAGTTTCTTGGGCTAGGGTAGCTTAAGTGGGGAGCACTTGCTGACATACACAGGCCCCAGGTTCCATCCCCAGCACTGCAACAAAACAAAAGTGAATTTTTCAGACTGCAAAGTGTACAGTTCTGTGGTTTTTAGTATTTTCATATGGTTGTGCAACCATCACCACTGCCTGATCCTGAGCACTTTATTACCCAAAGAAGAAACCCCAGGCCTTGGCCCTCCACAACCACTAACCCCTTCCTATGCGTATGGGTTGGCCCACACAGGTCAGAAGTGAATGGAACCCTGTGATTGTGGTCTTTGTGGCTGGCGTCTCTCAGTGGCTGTGATGTATTCAGAGGTCAGCGGGTCAGTGGGTCATTCTGAGAGAGAGAGAGAGAGAAGACCCCCAGAGGCTGACACATGGGCACATGGGCTATTGTCTCTGTCAGGATCACTGCACATCTGGGAGCTCCTTTCTGGGCCCTTGCTTCTTGGCATGTCTGTCTCAGCGCCACAGTGGTGTTTGGGTTGTAAACGTGGAGTTTGCAGTGCTGGGTGTTTATGGGGGACAAAATGATACACAGCTCCTGAGTGCAGTGTGGAGTGATTGAAGCAAGCTAATCAGCACAAGGCGGGAGAATGTGAACTTGGCCCCGAGCAGCTCCAAAATATGTAATGTGCACTCGCCACACACCACACTGTGCAGCAGATCTAAAGACACCACATGCATGTGTGGACTGTCACCCAGGACCGTCATCCCTCTCTGCGTCCCAGCCCCAGCCTCTGTTGCCACATTCTGCTCTGGTCCCCTGTCCTCAATCACTTTCTTTCTTTCTTTCTTTATTTATTTATTTGATCCTAGGTGCTTTAGCTCAGATATCTTTTTTTTTCCCCCCTTAGATTCTTTTATTGGTACATTTTAGGTATACAATACATTTACATTTATCATTGGGTTCTTGTACCTGTACATGATATAGCTTGGTTCTTATTTTTTCCCCGTTTCCTGCCCTCCCTTCACCCCCTCCACCCCTCCCTATTTACAAAGACTTTGTTTCCATCCTTGGTCATTTTAGATTCCACAGGGAAGCAGGAGCATGCAGTTTTGTCCAATCCTCGGGAACAGAGACTGGTTCCGTTGTGTGCACCACGGTCTCCTCCCTCATTCTTCTGATGGCAGCCACTTAGAGCTACCCCATAACTTGGCCTTCATAAATACTGCTGTGCTGAACCAGGATGTATCGACATCTTTTGACAAACTGATTTCATATCTTTTTGGTAAATACGCAGATCAGGATTGCTGGATCCCATGCTGGATTGACTAGCATAGGTTTGTATTCAGCTTTGGAAAAAAGTGTGAGTCTTCCAACTTTGCTTTTCTTTTGCAAGATTCTTTTGGCTATTCTGGGTCCCTTGCATTTCTATGTGAGTTTTAGGGTCAGCTGGTCAATTTATGAAAAATAATCACCTGGATTTTTGGTAGGGATTACATCAAATCAGTAAGTCACTGTGAGGCTTGCTGTCTGTCCTTGTAGTATTAAATCTTCTGGCCCAACTCTTGCATTTACTGGTTAAGTTTGTTGCTAAATACTTGATATCATGTCAGTAAGATCTCCTGTTTCCTTGACTTCCTTCCTTTCAGATGGCTGTAGCTACTGGATAGTCAATTGTTCATGGATCCTGTCCAATGTGGCCTTGGGATTCATTTTTCAGCCCTAATCCTTTTTATTTTTATATGGATTCCATAGGATTTTCTGTATGTAGATCCTGTAATCTGCGATGATAGATTTCCTTTGTCCCTCTAGATCTAGATGCCTCCACCTGTCCTTACCCCACCCCAGTGCCCCCTGGCACCTAGTGCCATGTGTGTCTGGTGGTGACAGCAGAGTCCTCTTCTTGGTCCTCACCCGGGAGCCTTTTGGTCTCCTGTGGATCCTTTATGAGGGGGAAGGGGGTTCCTGTCCCTCGTGGGTGAATATGGTTATCACGGGTTTGTTGGAAGTGTCACGTCTCTTTCAGTGCAAACAGTTCGTGTGCTTTTGTCCTTTATTCTGTTAGTGTGGTGTTTTAAGCTATTGAGCCAGCCATGCACTCCCCAGATAAACCCACTCAGGCATGATGTATCAGCCTTTGTGTGCTTTCTTCGGTTAAAAATTTTTTACATGTCTATTCATAATGATTATTGGCCTATAGTTTTTTTGTTACACATCTGTCTCATTTTGCTATCAGGTAATATTGGTCCCATAGAATGAGCTAGGGAATAATCTCTCCTGTATTTGTGAAGTTTGTAAGGTATTGATTGGTGGCTCCTGATATACTGATACACTTTTTTGTGTGTGTTTTTGCTTTTTGTTTTGGTTTTTTGAAACAGGGTCTCCTTTGTAATTTAGGCTGGCCTTGAACTCACTATGTAGCCCAGGTTGACATTGAACTTTGGCAATCCTCCTGCCTCAGCCTAAGTGCTAGGATCCCAGGCATACGCCACCATGCCTGGCTAATACTTTTTGTTTTTTGAGACAGGGTGTGGCTATATAGCCCAAACTGGTCTTGAACTCTGTGATCCTCCTGCCTCAGCCTCCTGAATGCTCGGTTTACAGGCCTGTGCCACCACGCCTGGCAGTTCATGATTTTCTTTCGTACCAGGGATCGAACTCAGGACTTCCCGCTTGCAAGGCAGGCAGCAGAACCACTGAGCTAAATCCCTGGCCATCATGATATATTTTAATCCAGGGAAGTAATACCTTCTCATCCAAGTACCAGTGGGTACTTAGCAACTTCAGCCTCATTTTGATGGGCATGGACTGAAACTCCAGACCTGAGTGCTCCTGTGGGCTTTTCCCACCCCCATTGCCCTGGGGCTGGAGGCTGTGGGGACCGCGTCCTGATCACTGAGCTAGTCCTGCGTCTCCCCCCAGCAGCCATCTTAGAGGAGGATGTAGCTACCTGGGGAGGGGGGAGCCCAAGTCTGTCTCTCCCCTGAGAGTGCAGAGCAGAACGGAGGCTGCTCTCATCTCCTTGCACCTCACCCCTACCCCTAGGAGCAGCTCCCGGCCCTGCTGGGCAGCATCTCATCAGTGCTGCCACCCTGGCTTGACAACTCAGATCCACCTCTGACCCTGTGATCTCCCGCAGGTCCCGCGTGCACGGACCCCGTGGCCGGAAGCTCCAGGGATGACCAGCCCCTCCCCGCGCATCCAGATCATCTCCACGGACTCCGCGGTTGCCTCGCCCCAGCGCATCCAGGTACTGGCCCGCCTGTCCCAAGACAGACTCAGTTCTTGGAAACGAAAAACAGTTTATGTTAGCCTCACTAACTTACTATTGTTGTTGTTTGGTTTTTTGAGACCAGATCTCACTGTGTATTCCAGGCTGGCTTTAAACTCCCAATTCTGGGATTATAGGCATGCATCACCACACCAGCTTTTGTTTTGGTTTTGGTTGTTTGAGACAGGGTTTCCCTGTGTAGCCCAGGCTGGCCTTAAACTCACAGCCATCCTCTGCCTCAGCCTTCCGGGTGCTGGATCATAGGCGTGTACTACCATGCCCTGCTCTAACCCACTGGCTTCAAAAGCACATTGGATCACTGCCTTGTGCTAAATGGGCTGTCTTCATCGGTAGTCACATCCCATGCCCCATGAAAAAGTTAATGTCCTGGGCAATCAGTTTTTAGGATGTCACTTTTCTTACTTCACGCAATAGTAATAATATGTTTGCCTCGTAGTTCGTGGTGAGGAACCAGGAGATGTTCCTGCAAAGTGTTCAGCAGGGTGCTGGCACCTGACAGTGTTCCATGGGTGCTGGTTATCTGCCACCTGCACATGACGGCCCTTTGCAACACCCTCCACTTCACTAACTGCCACTCGTGCTGGGATGGGTCCCTGTTTTTACCCTGTGAACAGAGGAGGCAGGGACCTTGGGCTCAGGGGCAGTGACTGGGGACTTGAACAGTGTGGATGATAGTGCAGATGCTCTGTCATCTCAGCTGCAGGTCCGGAGGCCAAACCAGAGCATGCCAGGAACAGTGGCGTGGTTGGCAGGGGCAGAGCAGAACTTGAGTTCCGGCCATGGCAGAGAGTGCAGGTCGGGAGGCGTCTGGTGTTAAGAGGGTCAGGTGTAGGCAAACTCTATGGTGTTGGCCTACTCTTAAGAGATTTTAGGGCCAGGGATAGATATAGATCTATATAGATCTATATATATCTATATAGATCTATATAGATCTATATAGATCTATATAGATCTATATAGATCTATATAGATCTATATAGATCTATATAGATATATATATGCTCAGTGGCACCGCACCTACCTGGCAAGCACAAGGTCCTAAATTTGATTCCCTATACCAAAAAAAAAAAAAAAGATTTTACAACTCTCCTATTGCAAACTGGGATGAGTAAGGACCAAGGAATGCAGAATGTGCTGTTAAGAAGCCTTATTTACAGAAGCTGGTGTGGCTCTTTTAGCCTCAATCTGTGGGGGGGACCTGGGAAGGCTCCGAGAGTGTTCATTGCCCTCAGGTTAGGAGCTCCGTGCACCTGCTTCCTGCTCTCCCTGCACTGCTCTTGTCTGCTGGTGCTGTGAGCAGGTCCTGATGCGCACCTCTCCCCACCTGACCCTGGGGTGCTGCTGAGCACTCTTTGTAAGCTTCTGCTCTCCAGTGACAACGACAGATAAGGACCCAGGCCAGAAGGCTCTGCAGCATGTGCTGAGTGTCTTGAGGGGGGCGCACGTTTCCCATTTTGTCGTGAGCACATTTTCTGTCTAGCACACATCATGCTAGGTAGGCAGCAGCTGTCTTGAGCATGGTGCTCAGCCCCACAGTGGCCCTAACACAATGTTGCCAATTTGTCCTTGGTGTGGAGCTTCAGGTCCTAGGGAAGAGCTTGGGGCGTGAGCTCCTTGTACAGTGAACACAGCTGGAAACCTTCCCATGTGAACCGTAAGTGATACTGGATGAGCCATGTGCCACTCAACACAGTCTCATGCTGGCCGCTGCTTAGCTCTGTGACCTTACAACCAGTCCGGGCTTCTGTGTGTTTTTAGTTTTGTTTTTTTTGTTTTCAGGTTGTTTTTGAGACAGGATCTTGCTATGTAGTTCAGGCTGGCCTTGAACTCACTATGTAGCCTAGGCTGGCCTCAAATTCACAGTGATCCTCCTGCCTCAACCTCCCCAGTGCTGGATTACAGGCCTGTGCCACCATGCCTGGCTTTTTGTCATTGTGTTTTGTTTTAGCGTATTCTAATTCGTAACAGTTGTGTTTCATCTGAAAGCAAGCAAGGAAGGATGATTTCACAAGGGTGGCAGGCTAGACAGGAAGAGCGTTGGCTCAGGCTAGACAAACCGAGGGTCACCTTCTGTCCCCACTCAACTGCGTGACCCGAGCAGTTCCCAGACCCCATAGCTGTGCAGTGACGATGCACCTGGTTTGTTATGAGGTTGTGAAAGGGCTGAGATAAGGCCTGGGAGCCTGTAGGCAGCAGGACCAGTGAATGGTAGCAACTGTGTGCACTGCACAATATTTTACTATGCCAGTACAGATTTCTTTCAAAAGCTAAAATGTATCATCCATTACTCACGACTGTCTTTACTTCCTGTTTCTACAAGTGGCACTGAAGCTGTAACCCTAGCATAAAGTCAGCATTGTGAAATTGTTCCAGAAAAGCTCTCGACTGTGCCCCCCCATTCCCCTGGGCGACCGTGCGCCTCGGGAGCAGTGGTTACTCAGGCCTTGCACTCCTGAGCTCACCACGTGGCCTCATGTTTTCCTGCAGATTGTGACAGACCAGCAGACAGGACAGAAGATCCAGATTGTCACCGCAGTGGACGCCTCGGGCTCCTCTAAGCAGCAGTTCATCCTGACCAGCCCCGATGGCGCTGGCCCTGGGAAGGTGATCCTGGCTTCCCCAGAGACGCCCAGCCCCAAGCAGCTCATCTTCACCACCTCAGACAGCCTGGTCCCTGGCAGGATCCAGGTGAGGCTCTACAGCCCTGTCCTTGCCTGCCTCCACCTCTCACAGTGGCCACAGCCGCCCCTGGAGGTGCTGGGTCCCTGGTGCTGCTGAGCCGGAGGACCCTTCTCAGGCAAGGTCCCAGGCAGCTCTGAGCCCGGGACATTTCAGGGGCGCCATCCAGGACGACCTGGCTGGACAAGAACCCTAGCTGTTCCCTCCATCCTGTCCTGACTGCTGTGTGTGTTCCAAAATCCTTATTTACCTGCATCTGTGGTCAGTGTGCATGATATGACATTCACCATGGAAACCACTCTTAGGTGTGGGGTGGCATTAGGGCACTTGGAGCGCTGTGCCATCCATCTGTACCTTTCCCTCCTGCACGGAAGCCCCTGCCGAGGGAATCACACACAAGTGCTCCAAAATGGAGATACTCAGGAGTGACTTCTGTCTGTGTGAGTCCAATGGTCCCAGGCACCTGGTCATAGTCTTGGTCACATGGTGTCTTTCCTTTGGGACAGGCTCATTTCCCTTAACGCACTGTCTCCATGACTTGTGTTGGAGCACAGATCTGAGTCTCCTCCTCTTGATGGCCATGGAACGTCCCTCACAGGGACATCTTTCCATGCCACCCCTTGGCTGTTACTGCCAGGTCGTGTGTTTGGGGAGGACTTGCCACTGTGCAGAAACTGAAGGAGGGAGAGAATGATTTTCTCTGCAGAACTGGACTCCAAGCCCAGTGTGTCCAGCTTTCAGGGCTGAACTACAGTTAGTGAGCCTGCTTCACCCTCCCTTCCAGCCACACTGAACTCTGCAGCCCCGGCCTCGCTGGTGCCTAGCGCACCCTTGCTTGGACAAGGCTGATGCGATACAGTGGAGTGTTTGACGGGAGGCCACTGTGGTATGGTCACGGTGTCTGGGCCCTGCGTGAAACTGAGTGAAAGTTGTGGTGCTCTCCTAGATGGTGGCACTGTGGCCCTGGCCAGCACACCTTCTGGTGTCCTTTCCAGCACTTCTTGATGGGGCAGTACTGGGAGGACCTCATCCTCTTCTAGGGGCATGGGTGACTCCATATGGCCCATCTCTGGGTGCCAAGCTGTGCTGAAGCCCCAGCCATGGACCACCCGAGTGTCAGGCAGGTGCCAGCTGGAATTTCCCCGCTCTGCTCGAGTTGTGCCTAGCACCCAGGACAGGACAAGAGTGTTAAACATCACTTCACTTCTCCTCTGGTTCTGAGCATGCTGTCTGCTGATCTCCCCAGATTGTCACGGATTCGGCGTCCGTGGAGCGCCTGCTGGGGAAGGCCGAGGTCCAGCGGCCGCAGGTGGTGGAGTACTGTGTGGTCTGCGGCGACAAAGCCTCAGGTAGGTGCCCTACAGCAGGTGGGGGTGTTCAGGAGGCCTCGTGTGTGGTCGGTGTACGGGCATCAGTTGTGTGCTCCACTTTTCCGAGCAAGCAGCAGTGTGAGGAAATAGAGAGTCGCTTCTCAGGACATTAGAACACCGGGAAGCTGGAGCACCAACTCCCATGACTTGAGCCCCAGTGGCACGTCGTGTTTCTATGTGGCAAGAGCCTGGTTTCCATCTGCACAGGTTCTGCCCCTTCACAAGAGGCCTCACCCTGACCGTCCCTGGACCCACCAGGTGATGAGCCATCACGGAGTGCAGGAAGCACAGGGCTGCACCCGGCAGGAACTGTGCCAGCCTGGGCCAAGTGACACCTGTGCCCTTCGGGGAGGGAGCCCGAAGGACAGGGTCCTACCACAAAGTCACTGGGGAGTGAGCAGGAGGGGCCAAACGAGGGAGGGGAGGCACTGCCAAGGCACAGTTGCAGATGGACACTCACTTGTCCCAGGTTTGATTGTGGTTATTTAGAGAGGAGATTGGCCGCATCCTCTGGCTAGGCTCCTGCTCCCCTCTAGGACACCGCATCTCTGCCCGGGGTGCCCACCTTGCTCCCTAGCTCTGAAAGGTAGCCTCATGCCCTCAACCCCAGGAGCAGGAGGGCTGCCCAGCACAGACCTCTCAGTGTTTGCTGCTTCCCCTCGGCGTTAACTCCTCAGAGACCTGCCTTCCCTGCGGAGTGTCTCAGCAGAGCCCACATCCCATGCCCAGCAAGGAAAAGCATGCTGCAGGCTCTGACCCCATAGTCCTCTCATCCAACAGGGCTGCTGGTTACACACAGCCCAAGTCACCCCAGGGCACAGAGCACCAGGAAGGGGAAGCAGTGCTGAGAGGGTAGTTTTAACACCGCTGTTGCTAGAAAAGCAAACTTGCGGTCCTCCAGATGCACTCTGGGAAATGGCTCCAACTCGGGAGCTTAAGATGGGGGACTTCAGTGGCCATCAGAAGTGAGCATCCCATGGACCGCCATGTCCCTACAGTGTCATGGTGGAGTTGGGCAGAGGCTCACATCCACCAGGAAGAAAGGGGGGAATCTGCGACAGCACCAGGAGGTATCCACCGAGGCAGAATGCTCTTCCCTGTCATGGGTGAGGGGTAGCCCAAAGAGGTTGCAGCAGCCACGACTGCTCCCACAGGTCTGAGGCCCAGCCAGAACAGCCTGGCCATCACTGTCTCATACCCCAGGGAAAGTGGGACCCAGCGTATGAGGGAGCTGGGAAACAGTTGGGGCACTGAGTCTGCTGCTGTGGCAGGTGCAGAAACCGCGCGCTGACGCAGTGTGGCGCTTACCACCCCTCTCTTCCCTCTCCTCCCAGGCCGGCACTATGGGGCCGTCAGCTGTGAAGGCTGCAAGGGCTTCTTCAAAAGGAGCGTGAGGAAGAACCTGACCTACAGCTGCCGCAGCAGCCAGGACTGCGTAATCAACAAGCACCACCGCAATCGCTGCCAGTTCTGCCGGCTAAAGAAGTGCCTGGAGATGGGCATGAAGATGGAGTGTGAGCTCAGGCTGCCTGGTGGGCGCGGGGTCTGGCTGCAAGGGAAACTGCTCAGGCTATGGCTCCACTCCCAGGGTGGCCAGCAGGGCAGAGCAGGGGCTCAAGACTCGGTGGGGCTGAGACCATGGCTCGCTCCAGCCCTGCCCCTGAGAGAGGGCTGCAAGGCTGGGGACCCGCTGCCTCCCAATTCGTCCCCACACCCGCCCTGTCCTGCCACACTCCCGTGCAGCAGGGTGCCCTGTGTGGAGCAGCAAGGAAGGGTGGACCCCTCCTCCCAGCTCCTGAGCCAGAACCCGGCAATGTGGGGGTCACTTCCCATCCTGGTGGTGAAAATGTGCCCCCAACAGGTTCCGAAGGGGTAGGGTCACACAGGCAGGGCACACTTGTCACCTAGACCAGACTGGCCCCCAGGGAAGACTGCAAAACAACACAATTCAGTACTCCACAAGTCCTTATGGAGCTGTGTCCTTTGAGAAATTAGAATGGTGAACCTAATGTCTGAGTAGTTTGATGTTTCTTTTATGCACTGATTTTGCTTTTTCCAAAGTGAATAACAATGCTGGGTGTCCTTCAGACTGGGAGGCTGAGGTGGAAGGAGCACAAATTCAAGCCCAGCCTGGGCTACCTAGCAACTTAGGATGACCCTGTCTCAGAATAAAAGATGGATGGATGAATGAATGAATGAATGAATGAATGAATGAATAAATAAATAAATAAATAAATAAATAAATAAAAAAAATTGAAAAAAAGGCTGGATATGTGACTCAGTGTGAAGACCTTGGGTTCAGTACCCAGGGAAGTAAAATAGAACCACTGGCATGGTGTTGGAGTGGCCCACACTGCCCTGTCCTCTGTCCATAGTGAAAGTTCTATGCTGAGAGCACAGACTGGACTTAGTCTTTTGTAGCCACAGGTAGAGCTGCAAATTCGAGACCAGCTGGACTTCAGCTTGCCTCCTGGGACACCCAAGCTCAAGTCTCTGGGCTTGATGTCACCCTGTAGGGCCATCCTGCCCTCCTTCGTGGCTCATGGCACATGTGGTGCCAGGCTGCAGAGGGACGGGTAGGGACACTGCTGCACCCTCGAGGCTGTTTGGGCCTGGGGCAGGAATAGAGGGAGGCCCCGCCAGGCTGCCTGTGCTCTGGGGCTGCTGGGCCTAGATCCCTGATGGACAGATATGCAGGAGGGTGGCCTTCCCTGGTCAGAGTCATCTCTAAACATGAGTCCTCTCGTTGTGATATAAGCTGTGCAAAGCGAACGGAAACCCTTTGACGTTCAGCGGGAAAAGCCAAGCAACTGTGCAGCTTCCACAGAGAAGATCTACATCCGGAAGGACCTGCGGAGTCCCCTGATAGCCACACCCACGTTTGTGGCTGAAAAGGACGGTGCAAGGTCAGCCCCTGTTCCCCAAAGGGCAGCCCGGCTGCATCTCCTCCCAGGATGGCAGTTGTTCCATAGCTCAGGATTCAGCCCAGGTTGTGGTGTAGACAGCATGTGAGCTAAGGTCCTCGACAGTACAAGTTAATTGTGCCTTCTTTTCGTATTTGGAAGGGCAGGGGAAGAGGGAAGCCAGGCCCCACAGGGCATCGAAGAGAGTATCAAATCCATCCTGAGGATGTGATGATGCCAGGTCCCCTCCTGGGAGTGTGGCTAGACCATGGCCAGGGTAGATGCTGGGGCTGCCCGGGGTCTGGTGACTACTGGAAGTCACTCTGGTTTTTTTGTCTCAAGCAGACAGCCAGGTCTCCTGGACCCGGGGATGCTTGTGAATATCCAGCAGCCCCTGATTCGTGAGGACGGCACGGTGCTCCTGGCCACAGACTCCAAGGTGAGGCTCGAGTTCTGCTTCCTCCCCTCCCCATCCTCATGCAGTGCCCTCGGACACCTTACTCAGGGACACTGTAGCTTTTTAGAACCCTTGCTCGGCCAGGGCTGGCACTCAGGTCCACTATCAGGCACCAGAGTCTGAACTTCCGGGTGACGGACACTCCATGGTCCCGTTCTCACATTTTCCCTGGTACACACATAGCAGAACTGCCACCTGCACATGACGGCCCTTTGCAACAGCCCCCACTTCATTTTGCAAAACTGGAGATTGAACTCAGATTGAACTTCACACTGAGCTACATCCCCAGCCTTTTTTATTTGTTATTTTGAGATGGAGTCTCCCTGAATTGCATAGCCTAGTCTTGAGCTGTCAATCCTCCTGCCTCAGCCTCCCAAGTATCTGGGATTACAGTCATGTGGCATTCTGCCCAGTTTAGAGGAAGTTAATTTATACACAGTGAGCACTCTGTGTGAACTACTAAGAGCTAATTACTGTCTCTGGAGGAAGGAAAATGAGTGTAAAAACTGTGTGGTTGAAAAGGGCCCCACCCCTTCTCCCTGAGGCGGAGCAACATGAGCACCGCAGAGGCTGCTGGGAAGGAGAAGACACACAGAGCTCCTGAAGTAGCGTTTGCCGGACCACCTTTGTAAACTTTTTACTTTTAAGTAATCATACATTCAAAATAATCAACGTTGAAATGAGCACAAAAGCTTTCAGAGCTGCCACACACCCTGCAGCTGAGTCCCTGCAGTTCTGTCACACAGAGCCCTGTGACCTATGAACTGCCATGTGTCCTTCTCGAGCCAAGCACCCTGCAGCCACGTCCCCAGCTGAGTGCCCATGGCCCACAGCAGCTGTGGTGTCCACTCCAGGGCCTTGGGGTGCTCGCTGGCTTTGACCTCCCTATTAATTTTAGTTTTCACTTTTATTTCTCACTTGCCCTGAAGCTGTAATTCTTTTTTGGGGGGGGGCGACCAGGGATTGAACTCAGGACCTTGCTCTTGTGAGGCATGCGAGGCACCACTGAGCTAAATCCCCAGCCCTGTAATTCTTTTTTGTTGTGTATAAATAAGCAACTTTAGTTTTTGAAAAGGTTTATTAGTACATGTTTGCAGTACACTATGAAGTTTCTCGTTTTCAGCAGTTTACCCCACCCCACTGACCCCACAGTATTTCCCTCATCCCCAAAAGCAGACACCTCAGAGGTCACTCATGTTCTTTCCAGGCCTTTGGCCCCACCCTGCTGTGGGCCCAGGTCCCGCCATGTCTCCGTCTGTCACCAAGGGGCTTTGCACGCAGTCCCTGGCATGTGTTTCGCGGTCATCTTGTATGGCTGTACCTGAGGTCCTTCCTCGGTGTTGCTGAACGGGTGTGTCACATAGCTGTGCCACGGCCCTCACTGCTGGGCACTGGCAGTTTCTGCTCTGAGCAGGAGGTGCGGGTCTTATGGCAGCAGCTTCGCTGCTGCTTCTGAGAAGCAGCCACGCGTCAGGGCTGTGACTGACCTGGCCTCGGTCCCTCCTCATGGGTGTCAGTGAGGGGCCACTGGGGCTTTGGTTCTGTTTCTAGCCACACCACGCCTCTGCATCTGTCTGCTGGCCCCTGTTTCCCTGCTTTGGAAAAATGCCATCTCAGGTCTCCTTTTGTGTTGAATCGGGCTGTCCTCCTGTTGTTGAGCTGGGAAGGCCTTCAGATGTCCTGGCCTCCTCTGTGATCACACGTGTTTATGACTTTCTGCTTGTGTCTTTTGAAGTACAAGCATTTTGCTTTGTGAAATCCAGTTACCATTTCTGTTCTGTCACTTTATCCTAGTCCTATGGTGTCACAGGTGTGGATCTGTGTGACTGCCATACCCAAGAACCAGCCTTCCTGTCATGAACTGCTCATGCCCCTAGAAGCAGTGTTTGAGCCACGTCACACCCTGTGTGCCTTTGTAACACTGCCTATTGTCCCATAGGCTGAGACAAGCCAGGGAGCCCTGGGCACACTGGCGAACGTTGTAACCTCCCTGGCTAACCTGAGTGAATCCTTGAACAATGGCGACACTTCAGACATCCAGCCGGAGGACCAGTCCGCAAGCGAGATTACCCGGTACGAGCCAGGCTCCCACACTGCTACTGTGAGGGTTGAGGGCTGTGAAGCTGTCGCAGGGATGGGCACGTCTGGCGTCACTGAGTTTAGCAGCAGAAGGGTGGATCCCTTGTGTGCTGTGAAACAATCACACTGCTTTTCTTTCCAAACGATGGAAGAGGAAATTCAGTAATGTGGGGCAGACTGCACTCTGTCACCCTGTTTAAGGCACCTGTGTGGTGACAGCTTCTCCCCGCTTCCACGTTAGCCTGTTCTGGGTTGTAAGTTTAAAGCTCCATCCCCAGGGCCCAGCCACAGTGGCAGGCGGGAACACAGCAGATGCTTCCACATTGGGCTTGGCCTGGGTGTGGCTCCCTCCACTGCTGTCCGTGATGCCAGGCCAGCCAGGTGCATTGTTGGGGACCACACAGGTCTGGTCCTCATGGTTTTGTGAGGATTTTGTTTTATGTGGGTTTTGGGTTTTGCTTTGTTGTTTTGGTTTTTTTCTGTATAGTCCAGGCTGGCCTTGAACTCACGGCCATCCCCCTACCCCAGTCTCCCAAGTGCTGGGTGTGTGCCACAAAGCCTGGCTGGGTTATGGGGTTTTTGTTGTTGTTTGATTTTGTTGTGGTGAGACAGGGTCTCACTATGTAGTCTAGGCTGGCCTTCCTTCAACTCACAGTCCTCCTGCCTCAGCCTCCCTAGTGCTGGGATCCCAGGTGTGCCCATTTGTCCACTAGTTCTTGTGTTCACTTCGTCTGACAGCAGAACTCAGGTCACAGGATCTGAGTCAGGTAGAATTCTGGTCCCACCACTTCCCATTGGGTGGTTTTGGGGAGGTTATTAACCCCATGAGTGGTGATGTCTAAGTGGAGAGAAGCTCTGCCTCTCTGGTATGAGGCAGGTATGAGAGGGAGCACCCGGCTCCTCGGAGCCGTGGTGGGCACCCACCTACCATGTGGGGCCTGCAGGGCTCCAGGCCCTTCAAACTGCAGACCCACGGCATGGTCCACTCTGTTTCTTCGCAGGGCATTTGACACTTTAGCCAAAGCACTTAACACTGCGGATGGCACCTCACCCCCTAGCTTGGCAGATGGGCTGGATGCCAGCGGAGGAGGTGGCATCCACGTCATCAGCAGGGACCAGTCGACACCCATCATTGAGGTTGAGGGCCCATTGCTCTCAGACACACACGTCATGTTCAAGGTGAGTGGCGGCGTTGGGTGAGACTCCACCAAACTGGCCCACAGGACCCAGGGTTCCACGGCAGTGTCCCTCAGAGTTGTCGTGTCTCGGGGTGCACTGATGGCCCATGACCACTCTGGGGGTGGGAGCCATCCATCTGCCCGCTGTGCCCTCCAGAGCCACTGGAAGTAGATGGGCCACTCCTGAGACGCCAAGGCCCTGGTCCAGGAATAGTCCTGCTTTTCCCACTCCACCAGAGACCGAACTGGGGTGAAGGTCCCCTTCCATGCTGCCCACAGCTTCTCTGTGTGGGACACTGCTCCACAGTGAAGGAGCATCACCTTGGCGCAAGGGCATCTGTCACCTCCCCGCAGAACAACCCTGTGCCTAGGATTCCACTTAGACCTCAGTCCGTATCCTAGACCCAAGTAGGACATACCTCAGCCTGGCCCCCACCCTTCTGGGCTGTGAGACCCTGCCTCCCTGAGCCAGGATCCCAAGCCTGCGCCTTAGGCAGCACATGCATCCTTAACCACACCGTGTGTCCACAGCTGACAATGCCTAGCCCGATGCCTGAGTACCTCAACGTGCACTACATCTGCGAGTCGGCGTCACGCCTGCTCTTCCTGTCCATGCACTGGGCGCGCTCCATCCCAGCCTTCCAGGCACTGGGGTAAGTGGCCAGGGAGCAGCTGTGCTGCCTTGTGCACCCCTCAGTCAGTGTCCCGGATGCTGAGGGCTGGGGCCAGGGGACAGGACTGGACCTACTGAGGCAAATGCAGTCCTCATCCTGCACATGCTCCTGGCAGCAGGCCTGCCCTGGTGCCACCTGGGTGCAACATGGGCACACAGTGACAGGGACTGCAAACCGCAGTCGCTGTGGTCAGTGACCCCCGGGGACTCTTGAAGGCAGGCCAGGCATGCAGCGCAGCTGGCACCCCTCTGTTCCCAGGCAGGACTGCAACACCAGCCTGGTGCGGGCCTGCTGGAACGAACTCTTCACCCTCGGCTTGGCCCAGTGTGCACAGGTCATGAGCCTGTCCACCATCCTGGCTGCCATCGTCAACCACCTGCAGAACAGCATCCAGGAAGGTGGGGCTGGGCTGGGGCCGGGATGGGGCCGGGGCCGGGCAGGCCAGGCTGGAGGACCCCATCGGGCCTTTGCCAGCCAGAATGCCCGCTGCATTGCAGATAAGCTGTCGGGTGAGCGTGTGAAGCAGGTCATGGAGCACATCTGGAAGCTGCAGGAGTTCTGCAACAGCATGGCACGGCTGGAGATAGACGGCTACGAGTACGCATACCTTAAAGCTATAGTTCTCTTTAGCCCCGGTAAGATATGCGGTGGGGACACGCCACCTTTCCACTGTGTCTGCTGCGATTTCTGAGCGTGATTCGTGTTGTCACTGGCAGTGTAGACAGAGCCCCACTAGATCGTGTGTGACCCGTACCCTTGTGTCCCATGCTTTGTCAGCTGTCCTGCGCAGCTATACTAAACCCATCCCTTGTAGCTCACAGTAGTGCTCCTGGCCCTGGGGGTGCCAGACACTGAGCAGATTGGTCAGGGTCCCACCTGCCACACCTGCCACCCTGGATGGCAGTGTGCAGAGTGGGCACCTGGCCCCCTGAACTTGGTGCTCTCCACCTCTGTTCCAGCCCTCCCAGAGCCCAGGACCCCTGGCATGCCAACCCAGGCAGATTTGGCTCCCTAGGGAAGTGGTTAAGCCAGTGCCACAGGTCATACCAGGTAGGCTAGTGTCTGCAGTTGAAGAGGAGGCGGTGGACTGTGGCAGAGAGTAAGCCGTGCCCCCACCGCCCAGCTCCAAGAGCAGCTGCCGACCCCATGTACAGTTGGGCCCGACTCAACCTTTCTCTTCTGCCATAGCTAATAAAAACAGGAGAGAGGATGTGTAACCTAGAAAGCGGTAATTCCTAATTACACATAACTTTGGGATCTGTGTTTCCCAGAAGAGTAGGAAGCCAATGTCCAAAGCCATCAGGCAGGCTGCTCAGGCTAGGGGTGCCCATCCCAGGAGCCCGAAACTCCAGCCTCTTTCCCAGCTAGACCAGCCTTCTGTCCACCATGCTTGGGAGTCTGTCAGGATTTGACTGAAGTGAAATTCTAGGGAGTCTGCCAATGCACTTCCAAACGCAGAGGGGAACTTGGGGTCCTTTCCTGTTCCAGACCACCCAGGTCTGACGGGCACGAGCCAGATTGAGAAGTTCCAGGAGAAGGCCCAGATGGAGCTGCAGGACTACGTGCAGAAGACCTACTCTGAGGACACCTACCGGTGAGGACAGCCCACCAGAGCCTTCCCTGGGCCTGCGGGACTCAGGCGACACCTCGCACTGCCCTGTGGCTGGTGGGAGTGGAGGCTGGGTGGTCTCCTGGGCAGCCTCAATCCCCATGGAGGTCCTTTGTCCTCTGTCGCCACCTAGAGCAATACAGAGCCCTCAAAGGGGCCAAGCATGGCCTTGGAGAGGAGCGGGGACTTATGGAAGAGTGACTTTACCCCAATAAACTGATCTCAAAAGTCCCTTTATTTGGGTGAAAGTTAATTACAGGTACTGTTTGTAACAGCAGACAGCTAGTCTAGGTATAAATGGGCACAGCACCAGGGCTACAGAGAGTGAGTCCCTGCCACCACCACCTTGTACATTACTCACTTCCTGCTTCCCTCCCCACTCTGTCCCCCAAATAAAACCATAGTCCACAGAGACACGGCCAGGCTGGGCTAACCACACAGCTTAGAGCAAGTCTGCCCCGAGGGGCCTCAAGTCACCCCATCTAACTCCAGGACAGTCCCCAACAGGTCTCCATGTGATGGGGTCCCTGGCAGGCAGACGGGCAGGTCGCAGCCTCTCCTTGATGACCTCCACACCCACCTCTCACCAGCTCCAGCTCAAGGCAAGAGGCCCTGGAGTGGGCCTGGGGGCTGCAGTAAGCACCTCACACTCAGGGTTTCCTCAGCATCACTACCCTGTGGGCTAGGAAAGTAGATACACTGGTTCTAAGAAACCCTCAGGCACTCCTGGTCCAGCCGGGAACCTAGGAAGTGACAGGTGATCCTTTCTGAGAGAACTCAGAGAGAGACCTACTCAAAGACAGTTCCCTGAGAAAAGGTCCCCAAGCATGTGCCAGCTGTTACGTTCTTGGGCCAGACTATCCTGTCCTGCGGCCCTTTCTCATCTCATCTGGTCCTCCTGAACCTTCCCAGGACCTCTCCACACATTGCTGGCAATCAGCCGCCTCCGGGAAGCTGTCCTGGGTCAGCCCTGCCATCTCCTTCCTGATCCTGCAGTCTGTCTGCCCAAGACCTGGGTGCCATCCCTTCCTCTTCCATGTGCCCAGCAGTATGGACAGTGCTCTGTGCATAGTTCAAATGCGTGCTCTCTTCTGAAAACAATGTGTTCACTGTAGAAAACAAAACATCCTAGAGAGCAAAAAGGAGAAGAAAAATTTACTACAGTGAAGAGCACTATGAGAGATACCTACTATTAACATTTTATGTCTTTACTTCCAGAAACTTTTCTGTGTAGTGTGACTGGGATCATAACACCCAAGAGACTGGTAACCTTTTCCCAGTCAATAAAATAACCATTTCCACGGCTGACCTCTCCCTGCTATGGGAAGGTGGCCAGGTCCGATTTGGGCTGTGGTGCAGTGGCATGGTGCCACTGAGGCAGCCTCCCAAGCCATGCCACTGCTGTCTGTCCCCCAGGCCAGCTCCTGACACCTCCGGTACACAGGTCCATGGCCCTGCAGGGCATGGAACCCTCCCACCAGGGTCTCTGTGGATGAAACCTTCTTACTGTCCACTGGCAGTATTAACTGGACACAGGAAATGAGGGCCACAAACACAGTTTTCTTGGGACTATCATTCCAACCCCAGAGCTCAGACTCAGCACTGGGGCAACGCCCATCCAGATGCGTGTGTGGACTGCTATATGCACACCTCACAGCTCTTTGACCCTCCTCTTTGAGTAGCCTGCCATGGTCTGTCCTTGTTCGTGGTGCAGATGCTTACAGTCCTCCCTGTAGAATAGGGTAGTAGGCCCTTAACCCCATCTGCTGCTGGGTTTCTGAGTTCCTGTTCTTTCTGTGGGGTTAGGGAGGGTAGCTACAAACTCAAATGGACAGAGCACACCTACATGCACCTTTGTGTTCTTCCCTGGAGACTCCTGCAAGATACCTGATGACAATGGCAGGCGGTGGGTGGGGTCTGTTCGGTCGCCATCCGGGCCAGGCCCTTGTCTCACATTGCTCCCTCTTGCAGATTGGCCCGAATCCTTGTCCGCCTGCCGGCGCTCAGGCTGATGAGCTCCAACATCACAGAAGAACTCTTTTTTACCGGCCTCATTGGCAACGTTTCCATAGACAGCATAATCCCTTACATCCTCAAGATGGAGACAGCGGAGTACAATGGCCAGATAACCGGGGCCAGCCTATAGGCACTGCGCCCTGCCAGCGGGGGCCTCTCATACCCCAGAAGACAGTGGTGGTGGAGTCCGGTATGTGCAGATGTTCCTATGTCAGCCACTCCCCACCTGGCTTCTTCTTACTGTAACCCCGGGCAGTCGCGACTAAAGACTAGGATCCTTTCCTGCCGTGAGAAATGTTCTCATGCCTTTTGATGAAGCAGCCGACTTTGGAACAATCTTTTAAATCAATTTGTATTTAGAATTTCTCAAAGGGCAAAAAACAAAAATGAAGTTTTATAATGTCAGAGACTAGTATTAAAACTAAAAGAACCTAAGAGAACAGTATGCGTGTAAATATATGTCCTTGGAATTAATAGCTACTAATTACCAGGGTAACAACATTAGCACTTTCTAAGCACTTCTTATCAGAATCTGTGACATTAGCAGCATCTTGCCTGGGGGCAGGGAAAATGGAAAACTGTCTCTACTGAGATGCTCAGGATCTCTGGATACGCGCTAGGCCACAGGAGACAATCATGTGTTGAAGGAAGAAGGAAGGATCATTCCTAATCATGTGCACATCATTGTCAGAGTGCGTCATGCCATCCATGGGAGTGTGCTGGCCCAATGGCCAGGACCCAAACCAGAAGCCACCAGCTACAGGCTGAGACTTGTCACTCTCCTGGCCTGTGACAGCATCTGCAGACTGCCTGAACCTGGGTTCTGTGCTGAGGACGGGACTCAGGATCAGAGTGCAGCCTGGCAGACCTTCACCTGACTCCACAGGCACCAGAAACACCATCACCACTGTGTACAGCAGCTGAGCTCCTGACCCGACATGCACAGCAGACACTCAGGACCTTGAGGGCCCTTGGAAAGTGTCCGAATGGCTTCCCGGCACCCTGGAAAAGGGCCTGTGTGTCTGTGAGGCACTAGAACTGTGCGCTTGGACAGAGCTGACCCTCCATCTTGCCTGACCTGTGTGGCAGGAGGCATCAGGATGGTTCCTTGCTTTTTTTTAACACAGGACCCTCCCAGTGTCCCCATACTGGTCTTCTCTTCCATAGCCTTTCAAGGTGTTTTCCTCAATGGATACGGCAGTGACCCCCGTTCCTGAGGCCATGCTCACTCTCCTCAAAAATGACAGTGACCATGGTTTACAGCAAGAACAGACTCCTGGACTGCACCAGGCATCCTGGGTTTCTGTCTGGGCTGGAGTAAGAAAGCCCTTCCCGCAGGGTGAGGTTAGTGTCTGTTTGGGCCTGTGGGTCAGATCTGGCTTTGCAGAGCCCCCAACCATGTGGTTATTGGCTCCAGGTACCACAGAGGGTCCCAAGGGTTGCCAGCTGCTGCTGGTCTTGCTGATGGGAACTACTGAGTGTGCACAGCATCTCTGGCTCCTCCTGAATTCCCATGTGGATTTCGAGGTGTCATCACAGGTCGAACCTGGGAGGCAGGTGTTGGGGACATCAGGTGGCCAGTATGAAACAATGATGTAATTTGTTTTAGTTTTCTAACCCCAGAGTGTTTTAAATTTTACAGTTGAAAAGACTGCCTGGGACTGCGGGGTTCAGTGGTTCCCTTTCTCTGCCTGGGAGGGATTCCAGTTGGGCACTGCCAAGGGCAGTATGTCCTGTCACCACAGCTCACAGCTGCCCTCATCATGCTCCTCAGGGTCCAGTGTGAGCACCTGAGAGGGACAAGGGATGAGGGCCATGCAGAGCTCAGGAGCACAGCACTGGAGTGGCTTTGTGTAGGAAGCTGCTGACTCACCAGTGCTGGCCAATTCCAGGGGCCACGGGAAGACTCCCTGGCCTTGCTGTGCAGTGGCCCCGTCTTTCAGGGTCACATCACATGCCCAGTCTTGCTGCTCAAGGTCATTTCCCACCTCCAACTATGTGTCCGTCCCTTCCCCATCTTGTCAGATGGGTTCAAGTGTCCACCTAGGCTGGGTACCAGCATAGTCCTTGCCTGGAGTACATGGGACACCCTGGGCCCATGAGGAAGGACCAGCCCTCAGTGGGGGAACACGGCTTGGCAGCTGTTTCAGGCACATGCAGTCACTTCTTGGCCACATGGCTCTTTCTGGAAGCATTTCAAACAGTGCTGCAACAGGCATGAACAGGACAGAGCAGACACAGGAAAAGACCAAACTCCTCTGGCAATAATTCTCAAGTTCCTCCTGGAAGGCATCCATAGAGGGTTGTCAGTCCTAGTGTCCAACATGCATGTACACGGGGGAGCTAGCCTGGCATGGGGTCTCTGGTTCTTTTGGTTCTAACTTCAGGGTAGGCACCTATGCTCTGCCCTCGGAGGATGTCATCTGGTGTGTTAGTATTACAGGTGGCGCAGTTAGGAGATAGCCCCACATCCATACTGTAGGCACCCTAGCAGGGGGCCAAGGATCACAGGCTCAGGTAGTGAGTGCTTCCCTGAGGAGCGTGTCACAAAGCGGCATCTCTGGGTCCAGTCTTGAGACCTGCTGTCCCGAGTCGCAAAGCTTGCTGTCTGCTTTCTAGTGCCACACCATGCAGTGGTGTGGCAGGTAGCATTGGTGCTCCTGCATCCAGGCACGAAGGGAATCATATGACACCCCTTTGGCCCGCCACTCCCTCTGCCCACCTTGGCGTCTAGATCATGTTGCTCTTGGGAAACATCCAGAGCCAGCCTCCAACCAGGCAAGGCTGGGCCAGATCTCCACACCTGTGTACAGTGTACATAGCATGCATCTGTGTACATAGGTGTACATTATGTGTACAGCTTCAGCCACCACCTAGCCTCCGCTGTGACAGCTAGAATAGCTGCTGAGATACCTGGGTGCAGGTGTCCAGGGGACTGTGAGAAGGGCCAGGACCCAGGAGGAACTCAGGCATGGTCCAGCTGAGGGTATTGATCTGCATCCTCCAGGTCCCGGGGGCCAAGGCAGGGGACAGTACAGCCCAACAGTCAGGGCTGGGTGGTGGCTTTTACTGCACCAGCTCCTTGCCTGAGTGAAGGGTCTTGGTGATAGCCAGGGTGGTAGCATCAGTGCCCATTGTCCTGGGCCATCAGACAAACCCAGCTCCTGGCACAGCACCTGCTGGGTGTTGATCAGGCATCACCACCACCAGCTCAGTGTAGTGGCCCCGAGTCTACACACCTTAAATCAATTCTCCAACTGTGCATGTGCAAATGAAACACACTGACTTAATTTCTTTTTGTAAATTGGAGTTTGCATTCTTGGGATTAAAAACTCCATTTTAATATGGATACATTTCCCCTTAAAAGTACAGATGCCAATTTTCTTCACCAGATCTGTCGTGCTTTCTCCCTGTAACCAGCTTTCCACTGAAACTCGGGACCTGCAGATGGATAGCGCAGGAGCTCCTAGGAGCCTCAGGTCTGAATTAAGCTGGCCCAGCTAGAAGCACTTCACACGGCCACACACTCAGTGCCTTTTGTTGAGACATGGGTTGCCGAACCTTCCCGCGTCCCTGTTCTGATGTCATGCAAGCTTCCTCGGAGTCCTGACCCCCACCATGATTGCTAGACCTTGCCCAGGCCCCTGCTTATTGTGACAATCACACTAAATAAACTGGCTTTCCAGTCAATAAGGGGAAGCCTGATTGTCTCTGAATGACTTTAAAATATCCTTTTGGGGGCTATAAACTGGGAGCTCAAAACGTATCTTTGGGGAAAAAAGAAATGTCATATTTTTAATGCCCAGCTATACTTTCATTTAAGAAGGTAGTGATTTTGGCCTCGATATTTACACACAAAAGTCCCCAACACCATTTACCAATTGAGAGAGTGCTTTAGCTTAATGTAGAGGTAACGTCAGCAAGGGGCAGACTGACAGCACACCCGGCTCTTCGTGAAGAAGAAAGGACCCTCCTGTCACTGTCACTTCGTTGGCCATAGTGTTGCTCATAGACTCAACACTGCCACCACACATGACTCAATGCTGGAATCTTTTCTACCCTGAAACCAGTGTTCAGCTAGTTTTATACCCGAAAAGCTGCACCTCTTTCTCAGCACTGCCCGTAGTTCCTGCTATATTCTGTAGTTCCTGCTATATTCCGGCCCTGTTAACGCATAGCTGTATCGCCAGCCCCTTTGAGATGATGTCTGTTAAAGGAGAACCGGGTATTAGGTTTTCTTGGGACCGTTTCTGTAACCTCTGCCCTTCACAAGATAGAAAATACTGTTCATGCCATTACCTTTTAATACCAGGTTCCAAACCTGCTGGAAGCTGCGGCTTTACACAGCTTCCATCCTGTACAAATCAGCTTTGTTAAGTGATGGCATTTAAAAACTAGCATGTTCTTTATAAAGTGGATTTTATATCTAATCAGTGTCTTCAGTCTTGAAGAATCTGCATTGTTGTGTTTGTATATAGAGTGTCGCAGTGCATGAGTTAGCTTTATGCATTTTATTAAATGCTGTTTCGATGTGGCATTACTGTTGTGGCTTAATACTACTACCTACATGAGGTTTATACTATTAAAGTGGATTAAAGACACCTGCCCCGCTCCTCATTTCTCCTCAGAGCTATAGCGACACTGGCCCAGCGTGGGGTGGGGAAGGGGGGGCTCTGAAACCACCATCACCAGAAGGGACTGAGGGCCTAGACTTACAGGTGCCATGAGTAGGAAGCCAGGGTGGGACATGGCTGCCACACAGGCCTCCAGAGAGCAGAGCACAGTGGGGCCACATCAGACCACCAGCAAGCAAGTCCTCCCAAGGAGAGGTCCACTGTCCTGAGAAAATGCACTTAAAGATTTGAAAGTTAGCCAGGTGTGGTGGCACACACCTGTCATCCCCACACTCAGGAGGCTGAGGCAGGAGGATCACTATGAATCTGAGGCCATCCTGGGCAATGTAGCAAGACCCTATCTCAAAGATTCTGAGTCCGAGTAAACTTAGTGTGTCATGTGACCACTCGTTTTACAGGCCCCGTTGGCTGGTGACAGACTCAGTGCAGCCAAAGAGTTTTAAATAGTACTGACTGGCGTACCACGAAATAACAGAGTTGGTCCATGTCAGAGAAATGCCCAGAACCACCTGGGGCATGTGGCTCTGCGAATAGGAGTGTTCATATGCAAACCGCTTCTAGCAGTCTCCCTCAGTTTTCCCATTACCATACATTCATAGTTAAACCCATCTTTTATCACCAATATAAGGACAAGACAGGATTAGGTGAGAAGTCCCATTGGCCCTGGCTCCCACCCACCATCTGTCTGTGACAGTCCACGCCCGAGGTAAGGGTGGCTGTGCAGATGCCCGTCTGTCTGCCCTCGGGCACCTACCCCAAGCCCCACACTGCAGGAACAGAGACCTGGGACTCAAGTGCCCCGAGCCCTGCAGCTGGGTGGAGAGGGAGGGCTTCCTCTGCCCTCTCCAAAACACCCATGGGAGAACACAGGGCCACCCTGGTACACCAGGTTACTCACACACACCTGTCACATGGCAGAGCCCCTGCCCACCACCCTCACCTGAACTGCAAACTAGAACTTGAGCAGCGGACAGAAGACACAAACTGCCCACCTAGCATGATCACCTCCAAGGCGGACAAATCACATTGTGGCTCCTGTCACCACACTGGCCAGTGACCTTGTGTGGCAGATGCTGCCTTCTTCCCACCACATGGAGAAGCCCTGGGGCACCCACTGTTCCCTTTCAGCCTTGCGCGCTGCGTCACTGTGCCTAGCAGTGACCAGGGCTGAAGCCAGGT